CCCCCTCCCGGCCCCCCGCCGCCAGATGACCAACAACACCCCCTCGGCCCTCACGACCACCACCGCCGCCCGCACCACCACGGCGGTCCCCCTCCCCCGCCGCACGGCTTCGTCCCCTTCCCCGCCAAAATCGCCGCCATCCTAATCCTGCTCGTCGGCATCGCCCTCCTCCTCCGCGCCCGCCTCGCCTCCACCTCCTCCCGCAAGCAAGCCGACCGCCGCGCCCGCCGCCAACGCCGACGCGACGCTCGCGAGGCCCGCAAGGCCGCCTTCACCGCCTCCCTCCCGGCCCTCTGGTCCCGCGTCTTCGCCGCCTCCAACGCCGCCGCCGCCGAGGACGAGGAGAAGCAGGCCTTCCTGTCCGGCAGCTCCCGCTACCGCTCCGCCAGCAATGCCTCCTCCAACTTCTCCGACGGGGGTAACAACGCCATGTCCCAGGAGATCGTCGAGTTCCGCAACGCAGCCTCCCTCGTCTCGGAGATGGTCGCCGCCGAGGAAGCCCGCTCCCGCCTCGCTGCCCAAAAACAACAACAGCAGCAGCAGCAGCAGCAGCAGCAGCAGCAGGACCACTTCGCCTACCAGGCCCAACAGCGCCAGCTGCACCACCTCCAACCCCAACACCACCAGCAACAGCAACACATGACTCCCCCCTCGCCCACCGCCGCCTTCGCAGACTACATGGTCGACGACGCCCTGCCCACCTACGACGAGGCCGCCCCCGCGGTCGTCGTCTCCGACGGCTTCAGCAGCTACACCCCGGGCTCCAGCGACTACACCCCCAGCGTCTCCGACGGCCCCGCGCCCGAGGGCATCGACGACGTGCTCGGCGAGGCTCCTCCGTCCAAGAACTGAGCATGGTCGTTGTGTTGTGTGTGTTGTGTGTCTATATATGTCTTTTGTTTTGTAACGTCATCGAGCTTGGGGGGGGGTTTTTTTTATCAAAGTGTAGTAGAAAGATATCCGGCATTTTTTCCCCATCTAAAAGACTCCTGAGAGTCCTTGATTTTTCTATGTATATATGGGCGTTCGCTTTCTGAGCTTTTTGCAACTGCGTGGTATGAGTGTCATGCACGGAAGAGGGATGGTATAATTCCAACGGGGAGGTAGAAATCATATGTTTCAGTTGTTCATTGCAGTTCGAGCAAACCAGCTCTGCCCAGATTATAGCCGGTGGTGATCAATGGTACTCAAAACTTCACATGTTCACCTTCATCTGCTCAGTCATCGTGTGAAGATGGATTTCATGTGCCCCACTCCCATTCCAATATCTCAGTCCTCGATTCAAGGTCCGTTGAAGGGGCTAGAGTAGATCTACTGTGAAATTGATGGTCATGTCAGATCTAAAGGTCTAGCGTCTCAAGAAGCACCACATCAGTGAGAGGCTCGATTAATGTAAATCAAGGAAAGGGCAGTTTGTGTCAAGTACATCATACAAACAGTCACGGCAAGAATCCTATTGCTCATGGCTCACCGGAACGCTCATGCTGAAATGCTGATTTTGTTGAGGAATTCTTCCGTTCTAATTCTTTCGCTGTAAGCATCTACTGTGAATGACCGCGCATGGCGGTGAGCATCTATCTCGTGACCTCATTAACACCAGCGCATGTTGGCCAGAACCTCAACCAAAAATGAACTGGCGGTAATTCTTGCCTATGCGCGCGACGCCCTCTTTGAGCGTCCATCCCTTGACCTCGCATACCTTGCGGTACATCTCCTCGAGTCTAGCTTCCATCTCCTCACCTGCGACGTGCAGGTCGCTCTCAACCAGAATAGCGTCATCTGGACAAGCCTTGACGACCTCCACTATGCTGTCGGCGTTGGCCTTGGTTCCTAGGTTAACGGCCGAGGAGAAGGAGAAATATATCCGTGCGGGAATGGCTGGGTTAGTGTACTGCTTGAACATCTCAGCCGAACCAGAGTACGAATGGAGGCATATCCGCGGCGGGAAAGGCTTCGGCGGCACGAGCTTCCTGCCGTAGTCATCTTCATCAAGCTCATCTTCGGAATAGGGGTCCTCGGCTCCCTCGGCGACCATCCTCTTCTGGCGCCTGGTGATAACCTCCTTCTCGTGACCCTTCCAAAGGGATGCAAGGGCATCATGGAGTACACCATGAGCCTGGACGCCATGGACACTCACGGGTCGGCCTAGCTCGCCCGCGAGCGCCAGCTGAGCTTTCAGCACGGCAATCTGGTGGGGCATCTTGACACGTTGAGGAGCCAAACGACGCCCCTCGCGACCACCCGGGGTCAGGGTCTGGTCACGGGAGGACTGGTCGACGTTGGTGGTTCCTTCAGGCAGGCGGAAGGCCTTGTCAAGACCTACCTCACCGACTAGAGCAAGGGGATGATTTTGCAGACGAGCACGAGTCTCTGCTAAAAAGACTGACAATGAGCGCGGGGCGGGCAGGGCGTCAATAAAGCTGGGGTCCTCAGGGGCGGGTGCTAGGACGGCCTGGTAGTGTCGCTTCTTTGCGTCGGGCTGGCCCTCGTGGTACGTCCTCTCAGCCACGGGCACGGTGTCGTCGAACAGCTGGTAGGAGAACCAGGGATGCCAACCAAAGGAGGGGATCAGATGGCCTTGAGACATTTCGTCCCTTGAGCGCACACCGTGGGATGCTGCTACCTCAGCGACGAGGGACTGGTCCTGGCTGCGAGTGGCCATGACGGTTAGCGTAGCGACGCGCATGCCGGGTATCGTCTCGATAGACGACATGGTGTCCGTGGGGTGGCAATGGGCATCGTAGATTCCATGGTCCCAGGGGAAAGGATCCGACGTAGTCGAGGCAGAAGTGACGGCAGTGGAGGGGTTATGATGCCCATCCTCATGTTGAAGACACATGCTGGGCAGCCTTGGTGGTCGATGCGTCTAAGATGGGTGGTATCAGAGACTGTGCCGGGTTACGGTAGGCGGGGAAGGCGGGAAGCGGGAGACGGGGATCGCCGAAGGTTAAACGTCGAGGTGAAGGGCCAGTAGGATAGCAGAGGCCCCTAGGAGACAAGAAGAAGACTGCGGTAAATTGTCGGTAAAGCTGGGTGTACCTCGCCGTAGAGCTGAGCTGAGGATGGAGCTATCCGTCAAAGGATTCCCGGTGCCAGTCGGTTGCCGAGAGCGGGATGGCTGGAAGCTGTAGGGCGACGGTGGGAAGCAGGGACCGGACGACGCTGGGACGGTCTAAGTCGAGCGGTCTGTATTTGCGAATACGACGGCGCTCTGGATGTGCGTGCGAGGGATGCGGTTTGCGAACGACGTCAAGGTCGTCAATGTGGACAATGGCGAGACGGCGATGATGAAAGAGACGAATGGTGGTTGTTTGATGGTCGTTGACGGATAGGCGGGATGAGAAGGAGGCTGCCACATGCAACGCAGGTGAGGTGACTACCTTCCGTGGGGCATCTCGATGTCGACTTCTGCGCACTTGCTCAAGGCGCGATGATGATGGTGGTGGTGAGGGAATGGATGATGCCGTGGTCGTAATAGTGGAGGCAGCACTGGCAGTGGCAGGCTGGCAGCCGGAGTGCGGGCAGCTGCGGGAATGAGTGAAACGGGCAATTAGTGGGGACACTGCGGAATGATGTCAAGGGGACGTGGTCTGGAAGGATCCAAGCACCTCTTCCGATCTCCCCACTCACCTCCTGCCTATCACCTCGCAGCGCTGGTGGGCAGGAAGGGACGGACGGGCATACGGGGGAACGGGAAAGAGAGACACTCGAGACCCTTACTGCGTCGAGCTCCATGAGGTAAGGTAGGCACGCAATGTAAGACAAGACACCAACACCAACACCTCAGGGCAGGCACCCAGCCCAGCCCAGCCCAGCTTCCCAGCTCCCTCTGCCCCGTCCGGACTTTGGGAAGGCGCCAGTGCTACCGGTGCCATGATGTCGCTGCGTGTCTCTCCCGCCCGCGACTCACTCCTGTTGCTCCACCTCGTCTGCTTCTTCTTCCTCGCCTACTCAAGGTACCTTACCATCGCATTGCCCTTCCACCACCACCTAGGCTAGATGTACCTCGGATCTCATCATCTCACCACGCAGCACCAAGACATGCTATCTGATCCATTGTCCTTCTGAGCCCATCTCGAAAGCCAACAACACCACAGCAACCGCTCGCAGACGTCCTGACGGTTTCGCTCAGTGCATAGCTTCGTTGCAGAGTTTCTGCTCATTATGCACAACACGGACACATGGACAAACACCTTGACGCCCGCCGACGACTGCGTCCTCACCGGAGAGCTCCAAGCTTGCGAATCACGGCTGCGGAATGTAAAGATGACCAAGCCAGGCGGGGCCCTCTAATGCAATCCGACGGCTCACCTCGACATCGCCAAAGGCCCAGTGTCTCATCTCGCCTTGTCAATCTATCAAAGCTAGGGCTGCGTCTAGGGGAGTCGACCCCCGGTTGCATCGTCGTGCTTCGACCTCTACGTGGCCTGCGCTCGCCGTTCGTCGATAGCTCAATGTTCCAAGCTTGCCTGCAAGATGCAATCGCTTCTGACGATCGGCTCGTCTGCGCTACCTGTGGCGTCTGCCTTCGCAATCTGGCGTTGACTGCCATCTTGAAGAGGCATGGACCATGATGTTCCCACATTGACAGCCCCCAGACAACCGCCAGTGGACAATTCCCCGGATTATCGACCTGACACCCACAGCACTCAGCTACCAAGACACCCCGATATGCACCCCAGGAATTTGGATCGCCCCGAGGCCTCGACTGGATTTTGGACATCCCTTACGATGTCAGAGTCGCGGGGAAACCAAGACGATCTCGCCTGCCCGTCAGGGGCCGTCCTGGGGCGGCAGACGGCAGATATCGCCGTCGTTTGCCTTCAGAACGTCGGCAGCTTGAACGTTTCGCACCTACGAAGGATCTTCGCTGCTTCTGACTGCTGTTGTGAACATCGGCCCAATCTTGTCCATTCCTCAGCCACCCACCACTGCCAGAAAATGCACAGCGTCAACCCTGGTCCATTGAGAGCCGTCCTGACCACTGAGAGCACTCGCACATCACACACATAAAGTTACCTCCACGCAATGAAGACGCCGAGTGGTGATATGCCGCCGCTCCATCCATGCTCCTCGCTCGCCGGCGAGAGCATCTAACTGGAGAACCACAGAAGTTCTGTCTTTCGCCCAGGTCTGGATCTGCGGGGTGTTCTATTCGGGGGTTTGCGCCCTTGCTCCTTTCCCCGGACGCTCCATACGACGCTGACCCTGGCCCTGGCACATCTGGAGTCTGGAGTCTGGAGATGCGGAGAAGTTGGGCGATCGCTTTCGGGGATTCGACCTCACCTCACCGAGAGCACCCACCCGTCGTCGTCTCTTATCTCTGTCGGCCAACTGTCGCAATTGCATTCATCGTCACTTCATACCAAAACGGCAGCTCGATTGCGAATCTGATAGCGGCATGCCGGCACACGCTTGCTCGCACACTCACGCCTACACTACACCACACCCAACGTCCCCCATCCCAAGTCCGGTCGCAGGGCTCTGGTCTTTCGTCACTCTCCCACCAACGCCAGGGCGGCGGTCGCATTACATGAGCATTGGCTGGCAGAAAAGACCTCAGGATTCTCCAGTCCGAAGGCGCATAAGTCAAGTCGCTGATTCACCCGGCAAACTCTGTTTCCCGCTTGCCCCCACAGCCGTTTCTGTCAGAGAAACACGTCTGTCTTCACATGGGAGCCAGCGTCCAGGAACTACAAACTCTGTTTCCCCGGCCCCCGTCCCAGGGACAAGACTCTGATTTGAGCAGCAATATTGGACGGCCTGAAGTTTCCACAGAGTGACGACCCTTCCAATACGAAAGAGAGCACACAGGCCCTGAAAACACAAAAAAAGAGAATCGCAAATTCTTTTTCCATTCACTGACCCTTCCGAAGCCCCCGTATGTGGCCACCATAAACTTTCTGAAGTCCCCCAGCTTGAGCGCGAGAAAACGCACAGAAAAACGCCGCTGCGCTGGGGGAGCCAGCCATTCACAACAAAGCAGAGGGCCATTCCATCATCAGTCCAACCACTGGCAACTGATGTAGTCCCTACTCGGGACCCTGTAGCTTCTGATAGCGCAAGCTCGGCTTCTCCATTTTTTCCCTCCGTGGCTACTAAAATAGCGTTACACTGCATCGAACCCTCCGACAAGACAGACCAGGACAAGGGAATGGAGGGCAAGGGCGGTGCTAGGCTTTGCCGCTAGCTCCCGGCATGTGAAAGAGACAAACAAAGTGCCCGCGACGACTAGACTGCCACCCCTACCTTACCCTCCGGTGTGGTTCAGTTCAGACCCCCCTTCCATGCTGCAGCCGCTCCTGCTCATGTACTGTTGGTATTGCTGCTGCGTGCTGCAGTTACTCGCTAGGAAGCCACCAACCAACCTCAAGGTTTGAAGGTTCGCTCCCGGCTCCTCTCCGTCTCATCCCATACTCTTACAGCATACCTCCCCCGTCCACCACCATGCCGTCCGGGTTTTGACTTTGTGTGCCCCCATTCCTCCCAGCTGCAAGCCATTCCATCGTACAAAGTCGCCAGCTGTCCGTCCAGTTACCACTTCCCTTTCCTCGGACGTTCCTGTTTCTCTACCTAGAGAGATATTGGGAAAATCGACTGTGGGTGTTGGGGTATTACAACGGTATCGAACGATCGGACCACCGAACGAACGACTGCGAGGGGATCATACGATTCAGGTACTGGGAGATACTGGTCACAACCGGTTTCCACAACTGGCTACGCCGAACAGATAAACCACTCTCCGACCAGTACACCGGGAGATTCGAGGCGATGTGGTGAATGAAGTCCGCACCGAGCCATCACCTTACACGCGCCTCTCCCCCCGTCCGCTCTACGACCGCAATCATGGCCCTCATCAACCCCATGTACGCCATCATCGTCCCCTTCCTCTTCTTGTTCACCGTCCCGCTTGCCATATTCGCTGGGATTACGACGACGCTCGCCTTCACCGTGCTTATCTTCCGAGTCATTCTCGTCTACTTCGATCTTGCGCTATCTCTACTACCATCGTACATCACTGGACGCCCTCGGTACCTGTCCTACGCGTCGAAGACTCCGTCACCCGCCAGTTCTTCTCCCTCATTAACGCCAACCCGACGCTCGGCTTCACGTCGTACCCGCCGGCCGTCCTCGGCATCGGCGCACTCCGTCGGCACGATAACGCCCATCTCGGAGTCCGGCGGGATCGGTCTCTTCCCCTCAGTTGGTATTGACCGGGACTACGAGGGTCTCGGTGGATGGCGTCTAGGAAATGGCAATGACGATGAATTGTGGACGACAATCAACTCGCGTCTTGAGCTTCCTGACCGTCAGTATCAAAGGCACCACCACCGGAGTCCCAGTGGCGGACCCACAACGCCCGGCGGTGGCGACGGCTATCTCATGATGAAGGGAGGCCGCAACAGGAGTCCGGAGAGCAATCGGGGAGGCTATGCCATGACGTCCCCAAACAGCTCTCGCGCAAGGACACCAACAAACGCATCCCACATTGCGTTTACGGCGCTTGATGGCGCCGACGGGGATTACTTCCCAAGCTTATCAGCAAAGGCTGTGAGGAAAGTGGCGGTGGCATAAAATGGGAGAACCACGTTAACTACAACCACTAATGAGTGATAACAAAAGACCAAGAATGGTTTATACAACGAGGTCACCTTCGAAAATAACGATGATGACAAAGAGAGACCCTAAAAGCGGGTGATGTAAGAGTTAACTGTACCTCTCATACGTCAGGATGGGATGTCGCGCCTTGGATGGCTGCAGACGGGGTGATAGGTGGACGGAAAGGTAGAAATGGATCAATTTATGACGGGGAAGGGCTAAAGAAATCAAAGGCATGGTCGGCTAGGCGTGGCCAGCTATGGAAAGGAATTTGGGTTGGTTCTTGGGAGTCATCAGGCGTCTGGCAGTATCACATCACACATCTCATTCGTCCAAACGGATAATCAAACAAGTTCAATTACAACTGTGCATCCTGGTATTTGTATCAAGTGTATGTATTTGCGATAAAAAGGTAATTCCTGACCTGGTATCCCATCATAACTCCGCCCAAACGCCGTCATAGCAATACTTGAACCGCGCCCGCTGTCTGCCCCAACCATCAATCACAACGTCTGCCAAAAGTAGTTGGCGTAGAAGAACTTTGAAAACTTTGGGTCCAGGTTCACGACGTGCACATCCCCCTTGCGGTCGTTCCTCACGACGGCGCGGCTGAACTCGCCGTCCTTTGTGTCGCGCTCGATCTCGATGCCGAGGGAGCGGTAGACCTTGAGGCGCAGGAGGACCTCGTCGTCGACGGGGTCGCGGCGGCGCTGCTGGTCGTCGGCGGAGCCGTCGAGCCCCTGGATCTCGAGCTCCTGCAGGCGGGCGTTGAGGTCGGCGGCCTGCTGGGCGAGGCGCTCGGCCTCCATCTCGGCGTCGGAGGCGGCCTTCGCGGTGCGGAATTTGGTGGTGTCGAGGCGGGCGATCTCGGAGGCGTGGGCGGTGGAGGAGTGCGCTTGCGTGAGCTCGGCGTGTTGGGAGGACATTGTGTTTAGTTGGCGGGAGAGTTCTGTTTGGAATTCGTCAGCGTCTTGAAATAGCGTCTTGAGATTGGGAGAAAAGTGTGAGGCTCGGGAGCGATGTTCGGTCTCTCCCATAGAAAAGCTTGTGGGGGCGGAAGTGGGAGTTGACGTTGGTGGTGATCGGTGGCCTTGGGAGTCTCCCATAGATAAGCCACTGAGGGCTGGAGTAGTAGTCGGGTCACTTTTGACCGGCGAATGGCAATGCACTGTAACGAGAGGAACGTACTCTTGAGGGCATTTTCGGCATCGCGGAGACGCATCTCGCGAGCCTGCTGGAGCGTGGAGTAGGAGTCATTGATGCGCGCGATGGCTTGTTTATCGGGCTGGATGTTGAAGTTTGCGATTGTGTGGTGGATGAGCTGCGTGCGCGCCAAATCAGTCAGTACATCGTAGATGTCAATGGTGCGGTGGTGTGGGCGCCTACCGTCGCGGGCTCTTCTGCCAAAAGCATCTTGACGGTATTCCCTCGTGGGTGATGTCTTGCGCGGTAAAGGTGTCGTCGGGGTTGCTTGAAGTCGCGGGTTGTCGCGTCGTCGTTCGTTAAGTGATGAAAGGATGTGATTTGCGTGGGTGTCTGTCACTCGGCCCAAAGCGGAAACCGCCTAAACAAAAAAGAAGACGGGAGCCCGTATCGGGTCGACATCACCGGGACGACAATCGGCTGACTAAGGTTGGGTACGCGGACTGCTGCAGGCCTGTGATTGATTCCTCCAGAGTGCGATGGTCTCCCCCTCAGTGACTGGCCAGTGCTGGAGCGAGCCAGCACCCCCCAGCGAAACCCCTCCCTCCTTCGGTTCCCGTCCATCCCATTCGCCCGCCGTCGGCCGTCGTCATCAGCTGCTGCTGCTTGCTGTGTGTGTTTGCTGTCCAGCGTGCCAGCGCCAGCGCCTGGCCGCCACACATGATCCCCTCCGCGGTCCCCACGCAATCTTCAGATGTCAGAGCTTCAGCCACTTCCGCCTCATTCCGAAGCAGGTTTGCCATCATCCATTTCCCATTCGCAAGCCACCCCAACCAACCCGCCCTCCGATCGTAAAGGCCCAAATCTGCAAAACCGCCTTGTGCAACCCCTCGAACGGCTTCTTGAACCCGCCTAAGACGATAACTGCACACACGCGCCCGCGCCGTGCTTGAAGTTTTTCCCGACGATCCCCCCCGAAAAGTCCATAGCTCCCCTCCCGTGAGAGAGCTCCCGACATCACGCAAAAATGGTCGATCTACCCTGTAAGTAGAGGACCCCTCCTCCCTCCACATCATGATGGTCCGCGCAGCAGTGACTGACGACGACAGACGCCCTCGACGCGGAAACGTACGTTGCGTTCGCACCCCTCACCTCTCCCCCGCGACGCATCGCGCAGGCGTAACGTAAAATACTCACCGCACCGCAGGCCCCTCAAGGCATCCGAGCTCCAGGTCCTCCGCGCCCAATATGAGAAGGAAGGCGAGATGGTCGGCGTGCAAACCAAGTTCAACTACGCATGGGTATGGCCTCTCCCTCTCCCTCCCCCCCTCGTCTCTTCTCCTTCACTTCCCTCCCCCGCCCAAGACACATCACAGCTAACAAACCCCTCCCCCCACGCACAGGGCCTCGTAAAATCAGACAACCGCAACGACCAACAACTAGGCGTCCGCCTCCTCTCCGAGATCTTCCGCGTCTCCCCCGAGCGCCGCCGCGAGTGCCTCTACTACCTCGCCCTCGGCAACTTCAAGCTCGGCAACTACGGCGAGGCCCGCCGCTACAACGACCTCCTCCTCGAGAAGGAGCCCGCGAACCTGCAGGCCTCGAACCTGCGCCAGCTCGTCGACGACAAGGTCGCCAAGGAGGGCCTCATGGGCGTCGCCATCATCAGCGGTGTCGCCGTCGCGGCCGGTGTCGTGGGTGCCTTCTTGGTGAGGAACGTGAAGAGGAGATGAGGGGTGAGGATGGATGGGTACGGTACGGCTGATGAGCGAGACGACTTTTTGCAGCTGCAGAAGAGAGACACGACAGCATGGGATGAATGGATGGATGGGGCGGGCAGACGACGGTGTTGCTTTGAGAGGACAAAATTCCCCCCTTTTATGTGTTTTCTTCTTGGTAATGTGTACTTGTATGGACATGACGACGGCTTTTCCGGTGTACAGGCGTATACACAAAGACTTCTTTTCTCACTTTCATAGCATTCTATTGCGGCATGAATTCGAAACGTTGTCTATGTCTTGTTAGTTTACTATGGCATGACGATGAGGCTTCTCGATGTGTTAGGACTGATACTGGGTGAATGGAAGCGGCCTTACGTGGACTTGAGAATAGTCACGGTACTGTTGGAATACGTCAGTAAACACTAGGACCGGGCTTTTGCAAGTCGTACGTCTGAGTGGACGCACCAACTGAAACCGTTATAAATCAAGAGGTTGTGGAATCACCAATCAAAGTCGACCGCACAATAGGGCGCACTTTGCCGTTCGGTATATTTGTAAACCATCTTGATCCGGTACGGCAGCGGATGGTAACTCTCGGTTCACCCCTTGGGACAGACGCATGACGAGCGCACCATTCTCATCATCCCGGCTTTTCTCTGTCGGCGCTCTAGTATTTGTTGAGGTGATTCGGTGAGCCCGGGCGTCAAGCAGAAGGATGGTGCCTTCAAATACCATCGGGGGACAGACACGCGACATGGACACCGCCCGAATGGTGTGCGCGTTCAATCCATTGTTGGTGGTTGTGGACATTGTGATGTTCCCCTCAGTCCGGTAGGCATCGTCTCCTTTTATATCAGAATCCGTCTCGTCTCGCGCGATGGGGCAGACGGCGAGTCAAGGTGCAGAACAGCTAATTTGTAGCCGCAAAATTGTATAACAAGAAAAGAAAAAGGAAGAAAGACCATATCAACATGGCAAAACGACGACCCAACGCTTCAGGCCCAAGTGCAAACAGCAAATTTGAATGACTGGAAGCCCGCATGTTACGATGGGAAGGTCGGATAGCCTCAGAAGGTAGACGAACAACCGTTCGACCACCGACGTCGACGGTGAAATCCGGGCTGTTTTGTCATTCATCAGGCCTGGTACGGGTGAATACGCACGTGTTGGGGATACAGGTATTGTTTTGCTTTTTGACGATATTTAATGGTTTCATTATAGTTTTCCTACTAGGGAAATCTTTATTTCACCTTTAAAGCACTGAAACCCCGTAATTTAGTAGCTTAATAAGTTACTTAACTTAAGTTGATGTTCAGCAACATAAGAGCAATTGAACTTCCAACATTCCGTCCTCCCTCTATTTACTGGATCAGCGTGGATGGTCCGTACAGATCAGGTGACAACAGCGATGCTTTGTTCCCAAGCAACCGCCCACAATCGTTCACTAGATCTGGATCGGTAAAGAAGGCGTGTCACCGGGCCATATGATGACCAGTTGCAGACTTCGTTCATATTGCCATGCAGTCGTCTGGAGCACCCCTATCATATACTCTGAGCCGTCTTCATGCAAGTTCCTACTTTAACGCCAGGAAATACCTGAAACATCATAAGATGTTATTCAGCCATCCGCCTCTACACTCTTGTCAAGTCGGTTCAAACGATGGATTGGAACAACTATTCGCTAACGATGCCTGCGACAGCGTACATTAAAGATGGGTGAGTTGAGAAAAAAACAAGGCGAGCAAGATTAGAATTAAAGTCTCTACAGGTAAAATAGTATGATCACCATGTTCAGCATGTATTTGGGCTATACTAGGCAGGTGTATGGCCGCCTCTCCACGCACCGGTTGCCTGGACCGGAACCTGACATTTCTAAGCAGGGTGTTCCAGCTACTTATGCGTGAGATGTGTACTCACCTTCCTCACATGAGGCGAGCTCTTGCTCTACGTGGCCAATATAAACCAGGTGGAAAGGTAAACTAAAGCACCTAATCAATTATGGTCAAAGTTGTTGCTGTACCTAACCACTTCTCTCGATCCCGTCTCGGCCATGTGTTAGTGAAAGAAGACACAGTTATTCTATTGCCGATACTGAGTAAGCCATCGTTCTATCCTCGTTGCTTCCGTCTTGTCTTTTCCTACCCTTTCTATCACTGAGGTATTCTGTTCATGAATAAATGGAGGGCGATGTCAGAATGGGACCTTACAGGTACACTCAGACTTCTACATGTACGACTTCCGGCTGGTCCGCGTCTCTAAGTTTCTTATCATCATCTCATGACAGCCGATGCACTGCCCGTCGATTACAATTTCAGCCAAATAAGGAGTTCGCTACCACTGCGACCCTTTTAAGTGCGTCTTCAAGTTTGCTCTGGGTCAGAGAGTATAAGCAGGTGTGAGGTACATAAATATAGACCTTCCCTCGAACGAGAGACTCTTTCACTAAAGCGACAGATGAAGGACTGATGGAGGTAATTGAGTAGTCTAGACCAGAAACAGATGCTAAGTCTCGAGTCCTCGTGTACAACAGAAGTATCCTCTGAAGGTCTGATAGCGCCGTGTTGTCTACACCACCGCCTGTCTCGCCTGGCGTTAATATATTCGGGCTTTAATACGCTTACAGGAGTTTGAGTCTCCTCTGGTCAAAGGCTCTCGAGCTATCCATAGGAAGACTGCGGTTTACCCAGCCCATACTTAGGACAGCGCACGATTAGCCCATCGCTGCTAGAAGCCTAATTGCTTCCCGGTTGCCGTCGCTTTTAAGAAGAAGACAAGATAAGGAGGTTGGTCTGAAGGGCTAGTATGTCTGGGCACATTGGCTCTGTCGTCACATTGCTGCGCGTCGGCGCTTGTGAGACGTCGGCTAATCGGTGTCGTTAGGAGCAAAGTCATTCAGAGACAGACCAGAGGCGATTGCATTATGTCTCTTGGCCTACGGAGCATGAAAATATGTTCTAAGGTTTGATAGCGCTGGGTTTTATTCACCGCCATCTGTCTCGCCTGGCGTTGATGGACTCGGGTTTGAATACTCTCACAGAAGTTTGAGACTCCCTAGTTCATAAATGCCATCGGTAACCTAGTCATCAAGAGAAAGTCTTAAGACGGTTGATTTACATTTGCCAGCTCTCATGCTGCAGAACAGGGTTAGATTGAGCTCATATTTGGGTCGTATGGAAAACTATGTAGCCATGTCGTGTTTATATACCGATTCTGGAACCGTCTGCTTGTTTCGTGGAACGCGCCTCGGCGACGTGAGCTATGAGGCCATGGGGAGTGCCCAGGTGCCACTACATGCATCAATTTGAATGATACGCACGATTATATTCTGTGCCATGTTGAGTATGGCTGGGGAGCATATAAGGACTGCTAAACGGAGCGAACAGAGTTGTGAATCTGTTGCATCCAACCCGTCTGACTTCTCGTATTCTAGTTCTCTGAAGACTACCGAAAGATTAGACAGCTATCAACACGCTATTTAATTGAAAGGCTCGTGGCGTATGATCAGATTTGGACTCTGTGCGCTATTCTTTTCCCTTGTCTCCAACATATTCATGTACTTGTTGTGATCTTACGCTTGCTAGAGCACTTCAAATACGGCTCAAGTAAACTGGGCTTGCTATGGACGTCACGGCAATTCGGGCAATCGCCGAAGAACAACCCATGGACTTATCTCGACATAAGGGAATATATGCCAATGCTATTTAAGTATGAAGTGAGACCATGATCTATCCAACGCTGAGGGGAGTATCTCAAATCCAAACCAGCCCGCCAATCTAATCAAACACATCAACAGCGTACCTCACATTCCTCATCCCCTCAAACCACTTCTTACCCTCCTCAAATTCCATCCCCTCAACTCCCTCAACACCGCCATCCAGAAAAACCTGCACCAAAGCCTCCTCAACCGCCTTACCCATACCCCTCGTCCCGCACACAAACACCTTGGCCCCCTTCCCCCACAACTCAACCACCTCCTCCTTCTCCCGCCACACTCGGTCCTGCACATACCTGCACCCCTCGCTCTCCCCCACCGCGCGCGAGTACGCCCTCCGCACGCCCACCGCCCCCATCTTCTCCCAGCGGTCAAACTCCTCGCGGTACAGGTCCTCCGCGCCCGGCCGGCGGCAGCCGAAGAAGAGCACCGCAGGCGCGAGAGTCCGGCCGGCCGCGATCATCGCCGCGCGCTCCTGCACGAAGCCGCGGAACGGCGCGAGACCGGAGCCCGCGGCGATCATCACGATGGGCGTCTTCTCGGGCTCCACGGGGAGGTGGAACGCCGCGGGGGACGGGCGTACTGCGACGTGTAGCTTGTCGCCCTTCTTCAGCGCCGCGAGGTAGTGGGTTGCGACGCCGACGTGGCGGCCCTGGCCTGATAATGAGGGAGCGTCAAGGAGGGAGTATGTTAGTGTCGCCTGTGTCGGGTTCCGTAGCGGCGAGGACGAGATGGAGCTGTTCATTCCTTGTCAGCATCATGACCTCCTCAAGATAAAACCAAAGACCGGAATAAAAGAACTTACTACTGCCTCACGCGCATCGGCGGCAACATCCCCAAAAATGCCCCGATTCCCAGCTCGACCTCGGGGAACCTCTCCAGGAGCTCTAGCACAGTCACCCTCTTCACCGTGACCTCAGCGTGATAACGCTCCTCGCCCGCGAGCGTCTCCAGCTCCCTCCGTGCCGCGGACCCTTCCGCGGCCGCCTCTGCGAGGCTCGCCACGTTGCGCTTCGTCGCGGGCTGCGCTAGCTCGACGTACGCGCTGAGCACGTCGACCGCAGACAGCGTCTGGTTCACCGGCAGCGCCCCCGCCGCGGCGTGCTTGTCGCCCGAGAAGGTCAGGCACGCGTCCCACGCGAGGCTGAAGCGCCGCAATACCCGCTCCACGCTCGCGCGCGGGTTGAGAGGCAGCACGGCGAGGTAGTCGCCCGCGCGGTATGACGTGCCTGGCAGGAGCTGCACGTCCATGTGCTTCTTGGCCCTGGCGACCTCCGACGGGGCGTGGTCATCCTCGACG